GATTAAAATTGCACTCTTTTGAGTCAACCAATATATGTATATATACATATGTATACATATATATAAATGTGTATGTGTGTTTGTATGTATATATACATGTGCATGTGTGTATATGTGTATCTACCTATCTAAATCCTAGTCTATGAGTATTCTTAGAAACTGAAACATTAACTAATTTGGCCATATTCACATAAACAGTATGCTTCAAAAATAGGACTTGAAGCTACTTCCTTCTAACTTAGAGATCAGTTTTCTCTACTATGCTGCATTGCCTCTCATCTATATAGATACAAATATTTCTGCACTACCTTGCTTCCTGATCAAAAGTTCTGAACCTTGGCATCTATGCACTGGCCTTATGCCACAAAAATTTTCAAAATTTTCCCAGTGTGAAAAAGAACATTATTTTCCAGGTCTAGAAAAAGAATTTTTTTTTCTTTTTGTTATTGTTCAGTCATTTTCGGTTGTGTCCAATTCTTTATGACCTCATTTGGGATTTTCTTGGCGAAAGTACTGGAGTGGTTTGCCATTTCCTTCTCCACCTCATTTTACAGATGAGGAAATTGAGGTAGAGTTATGTGACTTCCCCAAGATCACAGTTAGTGTGTCTGAAGCCAGATTTGAACTCAGAAAGATAAGTCTTCTTGACTTCAGGTCTGGCAGTCTATCCACTTTACCACCTAGCTGCTCATATCCCCCCTTTTCCTATTCTCATTTTGCTCATTAAAATATGTATTTGTCTTTAATCATAGAAATATTTTTAGTATCTTAAAACAGAAACCAGAGATTGAAGTTTTTCTTTGCTCCCAACTTACCCTATTAAAATCAGTCTATGTTTACTGATTGTTTTCCAATATCAATACCATGAATTCATTAAAACATGCTTGTTCATACAGTGATAGATATATAAGAGAGGTAGGGTGGCCTGTTCGAACAGAGTATTTGATTCTGAAACTAATGTTTTTCATATCTACTTACCTGACCCTAATATCTCTATTGATTTTCAGTCTCACTGGCAGCTAGGTGTAGGTAGAGAAGGAAATGGCAAACCACTCCAATATCTTCGCCAAGAAAACCCCAAATGGGGTCATGAAGAATCGGACATGGATGAAAAACTACTTAACAACACAACAACAAAATCACTTCAACTGCCTACTGGATATCTGAAAAATGAACGTCCTGTAAAATACTTTATATTTCATATGGCCAAAATTGGAAAGACTTTGCTTTTTTAAACATTTACTAACCACTTACTGATGTTCTAGACACTGTGCTAAGTGATGAGAAAGGCAAAAGAAAATGTCTGCTTTCAAGGAGGTGATGATCTAATGGGGACAGAACAACACAAAAAGAAGCCAAAAGGCTTGTTGAAGTCCTGCAGCCAGGTAGGAAATGAGAATCCCTCCTTAAGTGCAGGATCTGGGAGAGTACATCATTGTCCATGTCAACTGGACTCACAATCTTGGTGTTATTTTGAACAGTTCTCATTCTTTCTCACCCCACCCTACTCCCATTTGTTCCCAAGATCTGTCAATTTTACCTTCATATATTCTCTTGTACTTCCTATGATTATACTCCCTTCTCTTCTCTGACACTGCCACTACCCTGGTCTAGGCCCTCATTACCTCACACCTAGACAATTGCAGTAGCTTGCTGGTTGACCTTTTTGCCACCAGTCTTCCCCACTCCCATGCATCCTCCATTCTGTCACCAAAGTGATTTTCCAAAAGGATAGGTCTAACATGTCTTGCAATTTGGTCAATAAACTCCAGTAGCTCCCTATCACTTATAGGATCAAATATAGAATCCTATTTTTGACATTCAAAGCCCCTTATTACCTGCACATACACCAAACCCCACCCTGAACCTTTCTATCCTTCTTACACTTTACCTATCTCTACATATTCTATAATCCAGTGAAAATGGCCTCTTTGCTGTTCTTTGAACTAGGTACTCCATCTTTCAAATCCTTTCAAATTCCTTCAAATTCCAGCGAAAATTCCACCACTACGGGAAGGTTTTCCCAATCCAATCCTCCTTAATTCTGCTTCCATCCCTCTGTTAATTATTTCTAGTTTATCCTATATATAAGTTGTTTGTACATAATTGTTTGCATTTTTTCTCCTTTATCAGATTGTGAACTCTTAAAGAACAGAGATTGTTTGTCTTTGGACTTTCTTTATATTCCTGGGCTTAGCACATTGTCTTGAATGGTAGGTGCTTAATAAATGTTTACTGAGTGAGTGAATGAAGTAGGAACATTGGGGTTTGAATCCAGTGCCTGACATCTGCTAACTGTATTACCATGGGCAAGTCAATTAATCTCTTGAGCTTCAATACCTTCCACTCTAAAGTGATCTGAATAATACCCAGAGTACCTAGCTCACAGGGCATCTAAGTTGTACAGTGGATAGGGTCGTTGGCCCTGGAGTTAGGAAGACTGATCTTCCTGAGTTCTAATCTGGCCTCAGAAATTTACTAGGCATGTGACCCTGGGTAAGTCACTTAACCCTGTTTGCCTCAGTTCCTCATCTGTAAAATGAGCTGAAGAAGGAAATGGCAAACTACTCCAGTATCTTTGCTAAGCAAACCCCAAGTGAGGTCACAAAGAGTCAGACATGACTGAAATGACTGAAGAACATCTACACAAGCTCCCAGCAGTTGTTGAGAAGCTCAAATGAGATAGTGCATGTAAAGAGCTTTGTAAACATGAAGCATAAAGTGCTTCAGACAACTATTTAAAATGGAATTAATCATATGTATAAAATTATCACTATGCACATCGTCAGTATACTTCTATGGATTCTTAACAACTACAACAGCAAATTTCCTAAAGGCAAAATGAACCAGTTCAAACAGTCTTGCTCTTTCATGCTCAGTGGAATAACTAAAAAAAAAAAAAAAAAGGGTTAGGTCACAATGCACCAAAGAAGACCAAATCTTTGAACTATGGCAAATGTTAAAGTTATATCATCAACCCCTTCATACAATGTTCATCCATCTTATACAAGTGTTGGAACATGTGGACTCTGGCAGCTCACAGATAAATGGGGACACTTTGGGAAGTTCACAAAGCATGTGAGAATCAATACGAGGACATAACGGTGCAAGTTAGTGATCATAAAAATGTGATTCTGCTCTTTCCCAAAGTAGTTGGAGAAAAGCCTTGGAAAGAGTTCTAGATATATTCAATTTAGCCTAGTCATTTCCCCCTCATAATCTACCTTTTAAAATGTTTCTTTTAAAGAAACAAAGAGAGGCAAAAGCTATTAGATTACGTTTCAGGTTCCCTCTTTTGTCTGTGATATTAATATATTCGAATGTTAACAGATTGCTACCTCTTTCCTTTTTTCATTTTTTTATAAACCACCTAATGGCGCCTAATGAATTCAGTGCTTTACTGCTCAATGAGCAAACTATTAGTTTATGGCAGAAATTAATAAAGCTAAAAGTTTTGAATGGGATGCTCTCCCATGAGAAATGAGCCAGTTGCCAGAGTTTCACAACACAAAGACATACATTAAGAGTTCACAAAAGGCAAAGTGGTATTAAGACTACAAAGACTGAGGTTCTGTATATTAGAGTACACAAAAGAAATCCTACATACAGAAAGATTTGTATCAGGTGCACAAAGATGAAAGTTGCCAACTTGTTTGATTCTGTTATTGTAATAAGTACACTGATGAATGACAAACCAAAAAAAATAAGAGAGAAAGCCAATAGGCTCCTTAGGAAACTGACAGTTATTAACATGATATCAGATTTAATTCAAGATAAATATCTATAGAACAGTGATTATAAACCAATAAGAGTTCATATATCCAGCTTCTTAAGCAGTTTAAGCATTAGCAAAGAATATCATCAGATGAAGGACAAAGATACACATATATGCAGAATTTCTAAATTATTATTTTTTTATCTCATACATCCTTCTACTTCCGCTTAACTCCTTGAACAATTAACTAAAGCAGGAGTTAGCTTTTAAACTATTTTTTAAAAGCTTCCTTTCCCTGAACCACTTTCCTTGCTCTTGTTATATTCTGCAAATCATCTACACAAGGTATTTCATTTAAAATCATACTAAAACAGTAAATGGATAACCTAGAGGTTTTAATTTTTAAAAGCTACTCACTATTCATCAGCAAACAGGAAAAAATTATAGGATAAATGGAAGATATTACTAATACTACTAGCTGTATCTTTTTTTAAAACAGAAAGTGTTATTGATAGTAATAGTATCATATGTTCATTGGACAATTGATATAGTTTTTCTGCCTATTTGTTTTAATCTACCTGGAAAACTGGAATTAAAGCAAGAATTTTTCTCAAGGTATATATTAAGTTGATAATATAATGATCTTAGTCCAGATGAATACCTTCCTAGTCATATGGAAGTCTGGACAAAAAGAGAATATATGCTTTTGAATATATGTGTGTGTATTTGCACTTATGCATATATGTGTGCATAGTTCTTTCATTTTAGACAAGATCAAAGCCATGCAACTCTGTAAGATTTTTAGCTGAATCTTTTAACAAATAATATACCTTTTCTTGCGCTTTGTTCTTCAGGAATTAAAAAAATAAGCAATAAAACATAAATGAAAAGCTAATTTTTTTCCCTCCACAATTCTAAAAATGCACTATTTTCCTCTTTATCTTACTTGATTTTTTTCTTCAACAGCAATAAGCCCTCATCTTGGATCATATAGAATAATAAAATATGAAGATTTTAATTTGGTACCCCCTAGTTCAAGCAAGTCACAAATATAGTCTTCCTCTGGGCTGACCTATGCAAAATGAGGTCGAGTCTGCATACATTGAATTCGTTAATTTCACCAAAACAGATGCCTGTAACAAACCATGCCAGTTCGCTGCCTTTTCCAACATCCAACTCAATGCCTCAATCCCACTGCCAAGTGTGTAACAAGAAGATAAACACTGCAATTTCCTATCAATGAAACTCACTGCAGCAAGAGCAAAAAGAGCAGTTAGTACAATACCTAATGCTGCTCATGCTTCCAGTCTCCGATCCAAGCTTACATCTCTCCAGTTGGCTGGCTACAATCTGGCGTTCAGCCTCCAGTTCTCGAGTCAGTCTTTCAAACTGTAGTTCCTGAAATAAAATGACCAACATTCATTTCATGAGTTATATGAACAGGAGAATGGAAATAGTGGGGTACGTGCAAAGGGAGGCAAGTAAAAGCGAAGAAAGGATTAAGGGATGCTTCTTGAGAACAATGAGAAGGGTTTAAGAAATCACCAGTAGTTGATAAAACCAATCACTGATTATATGCTATAAAGACATCACTTCAGTACAGGCAATACTATAAAGTACTTTGAAGTAATAAGCAAGCTAGTCACATACATTTAAACTTGACTAACACATCTTTCTCCATTTGATGCCACCAAAGGAAATAAATTAGTCCTTTAGCTCTATTCATTTAAGGATTTGTAGTACTACAAATAAAGGTAGCATTTCTGTACAGGCTAAGATTAAATAGATAATATAATCTTATATTTTATTAGATTAAATAAACACTAACTTTCAAATATCCATTTGTAGATTTATATGATTAAAAAAAATCTTTCTAACCACCTAAGAATAAAGGTCCTTTTAAAAGCATTGTTAAAAGATCAACTCATTGTTTTTCATTTCATAATGCATAATAATTAAAACAGTATCTGCAAGGTCTCAACTTTTTCCAAATATAAAACTAACTTGTACACTGTAAGTCAGTGACCTTATATTTTAATTTACTCCTTATATTTTCAAATGTCTGCATTTGAGATATTCCTATTTGATGTTGAATTAATGATACCTTTAATTCATATTTTTCAGAGCAATAGAACTTAAATTTTTTCCAGAAAAAAAAAACAAAATGAATGAACAAAAACACAAACTCAATGTGTAATAAGTAGGTGAGCATTTGATATTGTTTTTAAAAAAATACTGTTCATGAAATGCCTATTTTTATGTTAGGCATTTCATGAATAACATTTAAAAAAGAGAGGGAGAAAATTTTGGCTCAACCAGCTAAAGGGATATACTTTTTCATGGGAAGTGAATCCATATTGATTCTGTAGGACCATTCCAGGGAGAGTACTTCATGATTGTGATAGACTCTTCACAATGGCTCAAGGAATCATTAGCTTTATATTAAGCTTCTTCTTAACTAAATTCAACAAACATTTATGAAATACAATCTTTGCAAGGACTGTGTTGGTGCAAAAGAAGATACAAAGATGAACTATCCACATAGTGGATATAGCAGGCAAGATACAAATAACTATTACAAAGCAGAATATCACTGCATTAAAGAGCAACAAAATGACTTTGCAAAGTTGAAGGAAAGAGATATAATTTCTAAGTGGGAAAAATAAGAAACAATGAGGAAAGTAGCATTTTAGTAGCTTGAAAGATGGTTAAGATTTCAAAGGGCTGAGATGATAGGAAGAGCATGACAGAACAAATATCAAGGCATAGAGAAAAGCATGAAAAAAAGTATAAAGGTGAAAAATTAGAACATATATTCAAGAAACAGTGAGTTAGATAAGCACTATTTTGGTGTAAAGTACAAGATGGGAACAAGTGGAAGAATAAAAAGTTCGGTTCACAAATTAAAAAAAACTAAAATGCTGTTCAGTTTACCAACTGATGTGATTGATGCTATTTCTACATAATGCCAAAAATATATTTTCAATTAATTCCTTTCAGTTAAAGATTAGTAGTCAATTTGGTAAAAATAAAATAAAATAAAATAAAAAACTTATTTGGCATCATAAAATAATGCAACCAGTTGTTGATTAATTTTTTTCATTTTGCAAATGAATGTTTTGGCATCACTTTATCATAAATAGATTACTGGTTCATTTTATTCAGTGATGATAACCAATTCAGATGGGAAATATTAGCCTCATAGTCATTAAAATGAGTTTTACCCCCAACCTACTTTATTCATTATAGAACAGGCCCTCCTTTTAACTCTCATATGGAAAATAAAATTTCTACTGATGCATAGAGATAAAAGAATAGGTAGAATTCAACAAAAGCAAAATTACAAAAATTACTAGTAGCATTCCACTGTTTTGCCTACTATGCCAGGTCCCATATAAAGTAAAGTGAACATGAATCCTGCTTCCTGAGCACTAACATTTTAATATGGAAAATAATAATAAAAATAATAATGATTATCATAGTAGTAATAATGCAGATGTCACCAAAAGAATAGTGATAGCCATAGGCATACATATTTTACAACACAGATGACTATGTGAAAAGAATATAGAAATGAATACATTTGAGTTTCATATATAAGTATATATGTGTGTATACATACACATAAATATACACATATGCATATACATATGTACATACATACAAATGTACAATTTAAAGTAGGTTTGGAATAATAGATAGAATTCTGGGCTGAGTCAGGAAAACCTGGGTTCAAATTGCCCCTCTAGCACCAGACAGATGAGTGATGTTGAACTTCTCTGTACTTTAAGCAGCTTCCTAGGTTCTCTTTTCTAAGTCAGAGATATTACCAATCTACTTTGGAGGAAGTGAATAAGAAATCACAAGTCCATTGCATATCTGACTGAAAATATGCAATCATATTTTCAGTAAAATAATATATTGGGCCAATGTGATTTTATCCATATGGGGAAGGACACTGTGAGAAATTTCGTCTACTAATCTTATTTGTAATTGAATAGCTGGAGAGAATTGTCTTGGGGTCATGGATAGGTTCACTAACTTACAGAACTTCAGGGGACCAGGAGAGTTAAAGAGATGTGGGTTCACATCTTGAAACAAGACTGGAACCCAGATCTCTTTTGCCCCTAAGTCAGCTCTCTGTCCAATATGTCATGTGTCCTCTCACTTGAGTAGATTTTAGTAACTATATGATGATTTTGGAAATAATGAGGGATCAGACATGAGTATTCTGCATTTTTTTCAACAAAGGCCTTTGTGTTTTTGCTTATTCCTTAGCTTGTGCCTAGAATCCAACTCTCATTTCCTGCCAGTCTATCTGTGCCTGCAAGTGTGACTTCTGAAACCTAATTCATCCTTCTAGGCCCATCAGAGATGCTGACTTGATCATGAAGTCTTTTCTGATTTCCTCAGGTGGAAGCAATCACTTAATCCTCCAATAGATCTCTCACATAATTTGATGTTCCACTTTGTATTCAAATTTATAAATGTGTTATAACTTCTTCCCCTGACTGTGTTATAAGTCTTGGAGGACAAGAACTGTGTCTTATTTATACTTTAGTGATTTATATTTATCCTATAGTGGTTGTTGTAGGGTCTCAATAAATGTTTACTGAATTAAATGGAATTATTAAGAGTGATTTTTATCCAGTCACATATGGAAATACATCAAATTATCCTGTACATACACCATGGAAGATAAGTACACACACACACACACTCACACACCTCTATCTCTGAAATTTGGTTATCAGAGACAAACTAGTATTATTATTGGGATGAGAGAGGACCTATGATTTCATGGGGGATTTGAGGAACTTGCATTTGCCAATGGAAATCAGTACATAGTCTGCAACTTAAAGTCTTAAAGTCTTAGAGAGATGCCTGTAGTACTGGGAGGTTAATACCTTGTCCAGTGTCAAAGGTGGGGTTCGAGCCCAGGTCTTCCTGATTCCAAGATCAGCTCTCTATCCACTATGTACTGCAATTCAATCCTTGAACACATCTATGATTTTGTCCTTTTGCCAGCACAGATTGGAAACCCCACAATACTCTGTAAAGAACTTTCCTAGGGGACAGCTAGGTGGTGCAGTGGATAGAGCACAGTCCCTGGATTCAGGAGGACTTGAGTTCAAATCTGGCCACAGACACATAACACTTACTAGCTGTGTGACCCTGGGCAAGTCACTTAACTCCTATTGCCAAAAAAAAAAAGAAAAGAACTTTCCTGATTTGTTTTGCTCATAACCTGGTGGTCAATCTTTTAATGACCTATGCTTATCTAGGCTAGTATTCAAATAACAGATACAAATTTTGTACCAGACTCCAATCTGCAATCTTTAAACCTTGGTAGGATAGGCCAGAGATTGCAAAAATACAAGTGTTCCTCCATGCTACAAAGGGTGTCAGAGTAAGACTTAAGTCAAAGATGATTATATGATGGGCCATAAATATGTTTTTTTGGAGCATACATAATCAGATTATCATTAGAAATTAATTTTTCTGAAACTATAATATAACTATCTAGAACATGTGAATAAAAGGGTATGAAATTATACTTACAATTTATTAAAGATGGATCTTAAATATTTTTCACCTCTAACAAATTACATGTATAAATCTTAGGGAGTCCTTTCAGTTGAATAAAGATGATTGGGCAACTTTAAAATTTATATTTTATATTTTTATTTTTTATAATTTTATAATATTCTATAATATTTATACTTATTAATATTTACATTTTATATTATATATTTTTTTATAATTTATATTTTATAGTTTGACAATAACTTTGCATTAGTTAAATCATGCTCATTTTTCTTTTCATTTTGAAAAAAGTAAATGCAAACAGTCTTAAAATATGTTTTCTCACAGCTATGCTCAACATGGAAAGTAAACAAGGTAGTGTTATTTCCTGGCATTAAAGGCCCCCCACGAACTCAATCATCCTGTCTTCCTATGTATGATATCCATTAGTCAAATTGTATGACTTTATGACCCATTAATATGTCTTGTGCTTTCTTGTTTTGCTTCTACTATCTCTAAACTTTATTGTTTATTTGGCAATACAATTGGGGTTGTCACTTGCCCAGGGTAACACAGGTAGTGTCAAGTGTCTGAGGCTGGATTTGAACTGAGGTTGTCCTGACTCTAGGACCAGTGCTCTATCCACTGCACCACTTAGCTGACCCTCCCCTTAAACTTTAAATATCCTCTTTTGTCCATCATTCAAATGCCCATCCTCCATGAAGTCTTCCATGATGTTTCCATTCAATAATGACCTTCCTCCCCCCAGACCTGCATGGGAGAGTAGGGGAGGATGAAAAGGGAAGGGAAAAGGCATTTATTAAGCTCCTCCCATGTGCCAGGCACTATTAAGCACTTCATAAATATTACCA